GGGCAAGGAAGGAAACTAGGTTTCTGGTAAATAAGCACAGAGAAACCCCAACCAACTGAGCTTGCAAAACCTTTATTTTTTTTCCCCTCCCTCTTCCTGATTTCATCTTAAATGGAGGGGGCGGTTGGAAGAGAGGAATAGAGGAGCAGGAGCTGACAAAATAGCTGGGGAAGCTTCTCTGGGCACTTGCCTAAGGAGGAAGATGAGTTCGCTGATTGTAGTCCAGCCTAACTGGGCCAAGGTCATGGGTTTGAGTCCGGTGGAGGAGTTCATTCTGCTCTGTCCAGGTCTACACACTGGATCCCCAATTTTGGCCTTCTGTCTCTTAAATACGCACTGCTGGTCACATGGTACAGCAGGCAATTCCCTGCTTGATGACTATTAGCCAAGGAGGGGCTGTTTTTAAGCAGAGGGTAAAGCTGTTCCTGGGGTAGTTTCCATTTTGTTTGTTGTTGTGGAGGAGGGGTGTTGAGAGAGTGGGAAATGGCATGAAGGAAATTGTCACTTCCTTTCCAGAGAATTCCAGAAAGGTTTCATGGAGGACAAGGTATTTCAGGAGTGAGAGCTGGCTTCAAGGGGATGAGGAACAGGAGGAGAATTGTGCTTTGTGGCCTAGCTGACTATCTGGCCCCCATGTTTTCTGGCATGTGTGAAAATGCCGTGGCTGTTACCAGCAATTCTGTGAGAGTCATTGGCTCAGCTGAACAAGTGTAGATTTAAACTCATTCCACGCGTACTGTGGATGTGGCTTTCACATCAGGGCTGTTTTCTGTATGGGAGGTAGAAATGGGTGGGTACTGGACACTACTTGGTATGTTCCAGCAATGGCCCCAGAAAGGGTCTGTATGTCTGAAGGAGGCCCAGTTGTGGTGACACAGGAGCAGCTCAAACCACTTCTATTTGGCTTTGGTTTTGAAATGCAGTCAAAGCCACAGAGAGCCAGAGGTGTGCATTTGCAGGCCAGGAGGCGTCTTCGCCTGTTCACTCCCTTCTGCTGAATACAGGATACACACAGTACACAGGCTCACATTGGTTGTCCAGGGCCCATGTCCTCTCACAAAGGCTTTACTTTGAGCTCAGTAAGACAGGCCCTGGGAGCCAGGGATTTTGCAGTACTGAGAAGGGAACGAACGGAGGGAGCAGAGTTCTTTCCACCGAGGAGGAGGCTTTGGAGCCAGCAGTGAGCTGAGCGGTACGCACCTGGGGGGAATTCACCATTAGTTACTAAGGGCTCCCAGGGGCCTCAGTTCCTGAGCCCAGTGTCTGTGTGTCCCTTTGGAGTCATATTTGCTGGCTAGTCAGTCCAGGCTCTAGGCCTCTAAAGCTGTGTCCCATCCAAAGGAGAGGGGAGCCCCTGGTGTGGGCCTCTCTGGCCTCCAGCAGGGTGCAGGGCGGGCCTTCTGTGGTGGTGGCTTCTTTGGTTTCAGGTTCCTGGGAGAGGGAGGTTATTTTGAGGGACTTAAGGGGGGGAGGTGGTTCACTCCTCTGCCAGGGAGAGTGAGTGAACATGCAAATGAGGCTCTCTCCACCTCTCACTTTCAAATCCTCAAACATCTGAAGGGGGTGGGGGGAACTTTCTGGACTGGGAGGTTCCAAGGTGGGGGGAGTATTGCTTAGCCTTGGCTTCAGGATGGATCAGCAGGATTAGCCTCGGTTGCTGAGGACACCCTCACGATCACTCATAGTCCTAGGCCAGCATAACCTGCACCAACCACATATAGACACAGACAAGAATACAATTAGAACTGTCTCTTTTATTTCAAATCTCTCCTCTGCATTGATGGCCAAGAGTTTCATCCAATACAGTGCAGTAGCTACCACCCATCTCTGACAAGCTCTCTAGCTGATGGGCCTTGGGGGACTCACCCCAAAGACCCATGGGCCACATACCTACTCAGGTGCTGGCACTCTCCTCCTGAGAAGCACAACCCCACAAAACCAGAAGAACCGCTGCCCGTGCCCGTGCCCCAACCCCACCCTCATCTGCAGCACAACCTCCTGGAGCCAGCATTACATAGTATTTGTCACCCATACAAGGCAGCTGTAGCTGGCTCAGAGGAGGAGGAACCAACGACTGAGCTTGTGGCTTTGCTGGCCAGACCAGGGCAGCCCTTTGACACACAGAGGCTCTCACGCACATGTGCCCATACTTGGAATGCATGCACACACCCCATGCATACATGTACCTACAGTGTGCTTGCACACTCACAGCGAACTCAGAGCTCACCGTGTAAATGACAATGCAGAATTATACAGAAGTCACCTCAGGGAGTACTAACATTACTCTCACTCTCACATAAGAGTATGTGACACCCCACACTCGCTGCACACATGGACACACATTGCCCAGAAAACACACCTGACAGATGCTGACTGACCAATCCCACCCACCCGTCCATTCATCTATCCATCCATCCATCCATTCCACAAACATGAACTGAGTGCCTGCTGTATGCCAGGCATAGTGCAGTGTGTTCAGGTTTAATCAATCACACAGTCGTTCTTGCCTTCAAGGGAGTCACTATATACTAGGGAGTCGGGGAGCAGTAAGGAAGGTGCATAGATTTACTCCAGGAAAATGCACTGGCAATAAACTTGCAGAAATGAAATACAGCATGGACATAAAGTTCATGTGCAATTTAAAATAGTTTAACATGCTAGCACTCTGGGAGGCTGAGGCAGGTGGATTGCTTGAGCTCAGGAGTTTGAGGCCAGCCTGAGCAAGAGACCCCATCTCTAAAAATGGCTGGACATTGTGGCGGACACCTGTACTACTCAGGAGGCAGAGGCAAGAGGATCACTTGAGCCCAAGAATTTGAGGTTGCTGTGAGCTATGACAGCATAGCACTCTACAAGGGTGACAAAGTGAGACTCTGTCTCAAAAAAAAAATTAAAGCTTAAAGAATAAAATAGTTCAACATAGTAAATTGTACATGAACTTTATGTCCACCCTGTACTAACCTGTAAACAGAAGCCCCAGAGATGAACAAACCTAGAGGTAAGGGCCATAGCGAATGACCTTGGGAGGAGGCAGACAGGAGGTTTTTGTTTAGATAAAGTGGGATTAAGTGAAAGTGATCACCTCTCAATTGATTAGTATGAGAATGTTTCCTGGGGGCAGACAGCAGCCTGTGGGAGGGAGGAGCTGCTGTGGAATGTAGCAGCCTTGGGCGCTTAGGCTAGGGGTACAGACCTTCCAAGCATAAATAGCCCTGGGAGGCTTCACGGCCCCTGGAGAAGGGTCACTGGCAGGGTCAGGTGGGGGCAGGTGGGGGTGGGAGGAGCACACCGAGGGCTAGGACCATGTTTACTCATTGCCACCGCCTCCCAGGGCGGACCTAACGGAGCTCTGTCTCTCATTCGCCCAGAGAGCAACTCAGACAGGTTGAGTTGAGTTGAGTGACTTCTCCAGACTTTTTGTTGGGGTGGATGGAAAGGTGGGGGGTGGGGTGGGGCCGACCCTGTGGGCTAACGGAAAGGAAGTGGGAGAGGCCTGGGTGTCTGCCGTGGGGCAGAGCGGTCATCAGGGAGGTCACCGTGGTACCCCCATTCTTTCCTTTTACCCCTCTCTGAAGTTCCTCATTTCTTTCTGAGCCAGGAGAAGGTTTTGCCACCCTGGCACTGCCAAGGGAGTGTCAAGGACATGGTGTGTCAATGCTACTGTGGTGCGTGTGTAACCTAGTCTTCAGGCACTTGTGGTTGAACCAGGCTGTTTGTAGACCCATCCACGCTCACATCCACACACTTTAAATGGGACCTGAAGGGCCAAAGACATAGCTTCTGGAAGGGGAGCAGCCCAGGTCTTCAGGGTGGAGGAGGACTACAGCTGACAGTGGATGGGCTACCAGGGCACTGACAGTCCTGAGGAGCCCAGCTGGTCCAGATGCCATAGGAACACCCAAGGTCCAGACCATGAGCACAGGAGGCACGCAGGGAGATGAAAGGCATGTGTAGGCTGCAGTAGACCCAGAAAATTTCCTGGAAAAAGGGCCTGAGCTGGGCCTGGAGGATGGGGAAGGTTCCACTAGCCCCTCCCCCAGTCGGGGCTCTCCTCACAAGTTCCCAGGGTGACAGTTCAGTCTTGAAACTGAAAGCAAAGCTGAACCAAGAACATAAACCCACACACAGCACAGAGGCCGTCCTCTCTGGCAGGCAGTGGCGGGGGTGGGGGGGGTGGGGGTGGGGGGTGAGGCATGCTGATGAACACACAGGGTGTGTGGCTCAGCTGCCCCCCTCTCCGTCTCCAGGCTCTATGGAGGCGTGACCCCCATCTGAGAGTCTCATCCCTAAGCACAGGGTTAGGCCACTGCTGGACCTGACACAACACAACCCCCATTGCGAGACTTTCTTCCTACTTCCAAGGTAAATCGAGCCTAACTTTGACTAGAGCCAGGCAGAGTTGGGAAGAGCACCCTGTACACCTGTGTGTCCTCACTTGCATCTCCCCACACCCAATTTATCCCCAAGCCAAGAGAGTTATAGGGATCCTTCATGTTACTGCCCGCTCTGTGCAGCCAGGCTTGGCACCCTGATTTCTCCCATGCTGATGCCCTGGGTGGGGAGAGCCCAGAGTCCCTCTGTCTAGAAGCTTCTTTGGAAAAAGGAGTGGGGCAGGGAGGGAGGGAGGCCACATGTGTTCAGGGCTAATGTGAGATATAGATGTTGGTGACCCAGACTGGCACCAAGGCTCAGCCACTTCTCAGTGGAGGCCATTCCATTGACTTCTTTTTCTTTCTTTCTTTACCTGCCTCCTTTCGTCTTTCTCCTTTCTTCTCCCATTTTGGCCATTCCTCTACTGACAGTCTGCCCTGGCATAGCAGGGTCTCTCTGGTTCGCTAGCTGTCCTGGCCAAAAGAGCTCAAGAAAGGTGACTTACCCACTATTCCCTTCTCTCCCTTCTCCCTAGGTTACTCCTGCGGTTGGCCCAGCCCAGCATGCGGCTTTAAGCCTGGATTAGACCATCAGCTCCTCCAGTTTTCTACACCCCTGTTGTACTGCGACTCACAAGGTACCTGAGTGCATCTCTTTGTCAAGAAAGAACCGCGGTTCCAGAAGGCCCTGTGGGCCCTGCTGTCGGCTCTCTGAGAAGACAGTATGGCTATTGCCTTACAGCCCAGCGACCTGATCTTTGAGTTTGCAAGCAACGGGATGGATGATCTCCACCAGGTATGGTCTCAGAGAATGAAGCCCAGTAGAAAAGTGCAGATGATGAGATTGGCACAGGCAGTCAGACAGCCAGTGAGCAAATATCCATCAAACACCTACTATGCTCAGGCCTGTACACTAGCTGGTCATTCATGTGGCTGGTCATTAGTCATCAGGTGGTCATTTAGAGAGCTGATTGCCCACACACAATGACCATGTCAGCCAAGCAGCTGCTAAGCAAATCAGCTGAGCTATCAGTCAGTCAGCAATGGGGATGGAGTGCACAGGGTGCACACTGACCATCATAGTGTTTTCAGCCACTTCCTCACCTGAAGTATCACAGGGAGAACGCTGCTGGGTCAACCACATAGCAAGAGTACTGCCAGCTGGAACTGGCAGGAGAAGTCCATGTCTCTGGACTTCAGACTCATGTCTCTGGCCTAGTTGCTGCCCTTCCATAACTGTCTTTCTGGCCTCAACCTCAGGATTAAGGACGAACTGGAAATGGGGTCTTTTGGTGGGAGGAAGTTGGAAATTTGGAAAATAGGATTCTGGTGCTTGATGAGGTCCCCACTGCTCCATATATTCCCTGCACTGGTCATTTTTCGTCGTGGTACAGTCATCACTACCCTCCACTCGCCTCCTTTCACAAAATGGAGAAAGAAGAGGTAGAAGGAATGAAAGATTAGGAGTCAGGAGCCCTGTGTTCTGATCCCAGTTTGACCACAGTGTCACCTAGGCAAATACTATCCTCTTCCCTATCTAACTGCCATCTCCCCATCTTCTCATAGAAGAGATCCAACTGGATTGATTATCTCAAAGGGCATCCTAACCTAATTTAGTGCTTTCTATCCTAAATGCTTGTGAGGAAGAAAAAAAAAAAAAATCCCGTCTCTAGCAGCCTATGAAAGGCCGCCCCCTAGTGGCTGTCAAGCACCTTGAACTTAGTCTCCAGTGCTTTCTTACCTAAAGAAGAGCAATTTGAGTTTTTTTGTGTGTGAGTTTGTTTGTTTGTTTTGAGACAGAGCCTCAAGCTGTCGCCCTGGGTAGGGTGCCTTAGCATCACCAGCTCACAGCAATCTCCAACTCCTGGGATTAAGCGATTCTCTTGCCTCAGCCTCCCAAGCGGCTGGGACTACAGGCACCCGCCACAACGCCTGGCTATTTTTTGGTTGTAGTTGTCACTGTTGTTTGGCAGGCCCGGGTTGGATTTGAACACGCCAGCTCTGGTGTATGTGGCTGGTGCCTTAGCCACTTGAGCTACAGGCGCTGAGCCAAAGCAGAGCAATTTTATCTTACGTTTTTTCTTCTTCTTCTTCTTCTTTTTTTTTTTTTGAGACAGAGCCTCAAGCTGTCCCCCTGGGTAGAGTGCCGTGGCATTACAGCTCACAGCAACCTCCAACTCCTGGGCTC